TGGTTCGGAGACTGTGGCCATCATCATGTGTCCCATTAATTTTACACAACAAAGGATAGAAAGTTTTTTTTAATTACGATTTGATAACTATTATGCAAAGTCGACACATTATATTTATGCAGCTGCGTTTTTCACACGATATCTTAGTAGCACATGTGATCACTAAATTTATACTTACATACGTAAGTGTAAAAATTTCAGGTTTTTTTTTTTTCACCTTGCGATGGCTGATGATAATATAACATTAATATCTCCGATTTCTATCCCACAAAATTCTGTCGAAGTCATCGATGCTGATGAAGAGGTCTTTTTCTTATATACTGAAGGATGTCCTTTAGAATGGAAACACGAACAAATTATGTCACAAAAGGATGCTTATATAGATGTTATGATCGATGGTTCAAAATTTATAATTAATTAATTTGGGCTGATTTTTGGAATTATTAATATATATACTATATATAAATTTTGCATTAAGTAGTTTTTGATTTACTGCAAAGTTAGTTTATACGTACGTATTATTGCGGTTTGCAAAATTTTGTAAATTTTGCAGATCAAAAAAAAAATAATCGATTATGATTAATGATTAGTGACTTCCGATTTCTAATTTTTTTTTCTTAAACTTTAGATTAAACTTTAATATTATGTAAATTTTTATAAAAGACTAATAAACTCTATTTTTAACTTATTAATATTATTAATAAGTTAAAAATAGAGCTTATTACGTCTTAAAGTTTAAGAAAAAAAAAATTAGAAATCGGAAATCACTAATCATTAATCATAATCGATTATTTTTTTTACAAAATTTTTCAAACCGCAATAAATTCCAAAAATCGGTTGATACGTTTGTCTAGTACATATTATAATTAAATAATTATTTTACAATGTTTTTATTTCAGATCAATTGATTATAAAAATTGCACAAAACCAATCACTCCTTTCTGTAAATGGTACAACAGGAACGGTTGTTTGGAATTCAAGTATAATGCTTTCAAAATTTATGTTCACCCATCGAAGTTGGTTGAACCTTTCAGCCGATAAAACAAAAATCTTGGAATTAGGTTCTGGATGTGGTTTAACTGGTATTTCATTAGCTGCCACTTTGGTGAAGCTTATAGCACTAACAGATCAGGCAACAATGTTGCCTCATTTATGGAAGAATGTTAAAAGAAATTTGGATCGCAATTTAATTTCATCAAAAGTTTTAGTTGTTGAATTGGCTTGGGGTGAAGAAATTGACAGAGATATTTTGTCAGAGCATTGGGATTATATTATTGCAAGTGATTGTATTTATAATGAGTTTATTGTTAATGCATTTGTTGAAACTTTAGCTAGATTATGTAATAATAACAAATTTGCGAAGCAGATTCATGAAGAAAGTTTACAAAATGATAATAATGAAAGGATACAACCTACTATAGCTATTATTGCTATGGAGCTAAGATCTGAAATTGTTCATCTTGAATTTCTTAAAGAGATGAAACGTAAAAATTTTATTATGTGGCGATTACCAAATACTATGCTAGGATCTGACTTTGAAAAGGGTTATGCTGCATATATTGCTTGGACTAAGGATTCATTAATATATAATTGAAAATATGATTTAAACAAAAAATTTTTTGGTTTAATTATACTGTTTACAATATATATAAAAAATTATTTATCTTGTATTTAATATTAAAAGCTTGACTTTTTTTTAAATAAAATTGTATTACAATACAGACAACCTAGTTCCAACAAATAAATTTGACTAACTTTAACTCGCAGGAACTGAATAATGTAGAGGTCACTGGCCATCCATTGATTTTCGCTAAATGATAACTCTGGCCTTAGAAAAGTGAGAGATTCTAAGGCATCTAAGGATCTTTAAAATAGTGAAGGGAGGTAAAATCAAAAAATTTTTGACTAACTTCAAAATGCTACTTCTTATTTACAATAAACAAAATCTTTTATAAAACATTAAAACCATTCAAGCTAAATATCTTAGTCAAATTTTTTTAAATAAGGTAATTTTATAATTAAACAAGCAATTTGGCTATTTAAAATATACTATTAAACAGCAAATTTGGTTAATTTATATATAAATCTAATTATTCTATATATAGTATTAAACTTGGTTACTTTATATACAGTATTAAATTGATTATATTAAATTAATAATTTGATAACTTTATATTTGGTTATACTATATATAAACTTTAAATTTTAAAATTTTTATTTATTAAAATTAGATTGTTTGTATAATATAAAATTACTAAAATTTGCTTAATAATTATTATAATGAATTAATGGTTTTACTAAATCACACTAGTTGCTACATCGATTTTGACCAATAAAATTAATGATCTGCAATATAACATCAAGATCAGTTGTAACTATAGATATTGGTAAAACTAAATAACACTGGTGATTATCTAAAATCTTATTGGCTGTTATATTAAATTTCATCAATTTTACCAGTTTTACTACAATTTTCAAGAGTTTTATCAGTTTTACTAGCATCTATATATAATATAAAAATTAAAAAAAGAATTATAAAATAGTTTGCTATTAAAGGGTATAAGGATCATATAAGCATCATAGTAAAAATTAGTAAATATTACTTATAAATTTTAATAGTAGTTAAAATTTTAAAAGTTTTTTATTAAAGGTATTATAAAAATTATTTTTTTTATTAAGTAACTATTTTTTAGTCTTTTAATTAAAGTTATAGAGAAGGTTTTTATAGTTCTAATAATGATAAAATTGCTAATATTGACCTAGTATATTATAAAATATTAATGATTTATATTTTATGATTATATAAAATTTTCTTTGTAAATTAGCAAAAAAAATTCATATGATTATAAAATATCAATCATGATGTGTTAGATTAATTTTAGCAATTTTACTATTATTAGAACTACAAAGATCTTCTATATAACTTTAATTAAAAGATTAATAAGTTTACTTAATTGGTGATTCACCAGTTAGCCAGAGAAAGATCATAATATAACGTAACGCAGTTTATATATAGAAATTAGGGTTTTGCAAATATGGGCTGCATTATTTTAAAACTTTTTTTCATACTACCTTTGGGCTTCTAATTAAAGTTGTGGATCACAAGATATCTTTGAAAAATGTTTCGCCAACTATATAAAATTCTTCTTTAACAATACTATTATTGAAAAAGAATTTTATAGTTAGTAAAATATTTTTGAAGATATCTCATGATCTACAAGGCCAATTTTGATAATTTAACCACTATTAAATTCTTTTCAATGAGCTCTACAACTTCAATTAGAAGCTTAAAAGTAGTTAACTTAGTATAAAAAAAGTTTTAGAATGATGTAGTCCATATTCGCAAAACTCTAATTTCTATATATAAACCACATCATGTTATACTATGATCTCTCTCTGATTGACTGGCAAATTACCAATTAATAAAAAAATAGTTTTTATAATACCTTTAATAAAAAAACTTTTAAAAATACTAATTCAGAGCTTTGGTTATACCTATATAGAAGTCTATGACAAAAAAAAATTAAAATTTACCAACACTAATACAACACCAACTAGAAATAGCTAGAAGTAATTTAGCTTGCCACTTAAGTAATTTTGTGGTGTTAGGCTAGTCTTTAATAAAATAAGTCATTAAAGCAGAATTATGAAAATAGCCAATAGCTAGGAGTATATAGCCTTATAGTTGTTATATAACTCAAGGGTCTTTACGAACTATAGTTTTGACAAATATCATATAAAAGAGTACTTAAGGAATAGTAAAAAGTAATTAAAAAAAACTTTCTATCCTTTGTTGTGTAAAATTAATGGGACACATGATGATGGCCACAGTCTCCGAACCA